GCCACTGGACGCTGCGACATTGGACGTTTTGATGGGTCCCTACACAGCAAACAACGCCTAGCCAGCCATCCAGCCATTGTGACATGTCCACGACTTTCAAGACACCATTCACCGGGATCAAATTTAAATATATCCTTTGTATTTCGTCATTCCGCCGTTTGCCAATGAATCATTGTTTTGCTTATTAAGTGTTTTGCAGTTCACCATCTAGCCGTTCGCACATTTGGCAGGTCGACTTTTTCAATGTCGCCATCTTGCAGGTCGCCATTGAGTTTATCGCCATTTTGCCGTGTCGACTTGTTTACAGTTCGCCGTTTTGCATTTCGACATTTAGCTGTTTCGAACTTTCACCCCGTCGACGTTCTTACATGCTGCCATTCCGCATTCGCCATTCAGTGTTCGACAAAAAAAGCATTGGGCAGATGGGATTTTTTACTTTTTGTCTTAGGACCTCGGTAGATACGGACACTGCACTTATAGGCGCTGATGTTTTGTTGACCAGTAATATGGTTCAACAAAATTGTGTCAAATGTCTTGCTAGTAAATGTCTGGCGGATTGAACACGATTCTGCCGCAGACCTTAGTGAAGTGCTCCATCCTGGCCTCCAAGCGGCAGCGTACGTAGACAGCTGGACACACGCCGGCAACGGACGGCTGCCTAGTGGTCAACTTTCAAACTAACGCTACAGGTGGAAGTGGTGCAGGTGGCTATACTGTCGCCGCTTGCAGCTAAGCGTTACTCCTAGGCATTATAGAGCTGAACAAGTTGGAAAACCAGTTTCCTCCTCGTTATCTACAATTTTGATGCCAATCATTTGCGATTGAAGCATTCTTCGGTTGAACACCCTTAATCACACGTTAAACGTTGCTTAAAGTGAATGTTTCACATTTGAAGACATTGAAGCAAGCATGAAATATAATGCAATAAGCTCACTTCTAAGGTGTTTGTATACTTTTAAGTGAAAGGGATTGCTACGGGACACCAATTTTCTTCGCCTAGCAAATGCTTTCCTTTCCCTCAACACACTGTCCAGCGTTTGATCGTTGCCATCGTGCCTTGCCGCCAACATTGATGCAGATAGACGGCCCCAGTACCCCCTGGAAATCGTGCCTCACGAACGCAATATGTGAACGACTTCGGCAATTTCTATTTTGTACTTCGCCTTGGTCGCCCCGCATGTCCCATGGATTAGCGGGCTTGTTAAACGTATTATAGAGTCCATGCATGTGTGGGGTGCCTCTCGACAGTAGTCTACACGAAATCGCTATGCACATCTTCAGCGATGCGCATAGCTCAGGAAACTAGAAAGGGGGTTCAGGTCTTAACACGCGCTCGGGTGGGGGGGCTCAAATTGACCGCCCGGAGGTTTTTCCGGAATGGTTTCAAAGGCTGGATAGCTTGTAGACAATTCTAGTATACGCATTGTTTGGTATACAAAATTCAGATAGCTACTTTGTATGGTCCGTCGCTGACCTATGGCATGTCAAAGTCAGGTGATGGTTTCAGCGAAGTCAATTTTCTAGGGAAATCATTCATCTGATAAAACAACGGAGTGTTAGACGAGACCATACATCTCTGAGATGCTTTCTTAGGCACACAACAATTAAACGCACAAATTACATTGACCTAAGGTCACATATGAAGGTCAGACCGAAGTCAAAACCAACCTGTTTTATTACTTACGAGCTAGCTGTATGGGATAGTTTCTGGTGTTCATTTCGAGTTTATTGATAGCAGGAACCGCATTATGCATCTTGTATGGACTTCTCAGAGGTTAGGATAGGTCCTTGACTTAAAATGACCCAGGGAAAACATTTTGTTTTTGGTAACATACTGCCTAGCGTAATCTTTGTCGCACATTTCAAATGCCAAGCTCAGAGCAGTCTGGTATGATTTAGCTCACCATAGCCTTCAAAAGGTCAAACGAGGTCATTGACTTTCAATGAGCATGTGACCTTTTTGCTTAGGAGCAAGTTGTCTAGGTTCTGGGGCACTTTGGAAGAAAAACCTGGAACTTGATCTCGTTTGACCATATTTGGTCCTGAAGCCATGAACTAAGAACCCCAACTTTGACCTACGTGAGTTCACGTTCAGTTCAACATACCCTGTAAATTTGGTGTCTCTAGCTCCCTTAGTTCCTGACATCTCAGAGGGTCAAATTGCCCCCCACCCCCACCCCCACCCCGGCGAAGGGTATCCAGCCGGTCAGCCGGGCGCGGGTTAAGAAGGGCTGTGAATGGCACCTAATTGTCTTAAGATGGCTATTTTATTTCAAACGCCCCTTCAAATGTGGAACACTCCCTTTAAGGAAAATCGCCTGCCTTCCGATCCACCCGCTCGTTGTTGGTGGGTTCGGGTCACTTCAGGCGCTCGCCTTTGGCTTTGGCAGGCATGACTTCTGGCTGTTCGCAGCAGGGGTGAAAGAGGGCCTTTTCTGTCACCAAGAAATCTGAAGCCGTCTCTAAACTGTCACTTGGGGCTAAATCTCCCAGAAACCTTTGCAATGTAGCTCAAATGCGATACCCCCCCCCCACCCCTAAAAGAACAACTGAAATACGATGCAGCATAACCATCAAATATTTTCGTTCCGGGAGTTCATTCGTGCTTATCAATCATTTGCCTGTCATTAAACACCGGATGATGGTTGAGAAAACCTAATACAATTTTCAGATAAAGGTATACTTGACATAACCGGCATGGAAGCGTGTAGTTTCCTATTCAGTTGGGCGGACTAGGGGAGACGGGATCGTGCCTCCTAACCATGGTCGTCGTTCCCTGCTTGTATTTATAATTTTTACTAATTATTTTTCATTAAGCATCATTTTTAGGGTTTACCCACCTCCCAAACCAATTTCCGGACACTGCGCCCTCGCTCCCATCTCTGAAAAGAAGGCGCATTAAATCTGAGAGATCTGAGGTGAAAACTGTTTAAAGTGCATTTTAAAAGCCTTTTTCTTCCTGCGCCCGCCCCCCCCCCCCGCCCCTCAGCCCCACGTATTTTGCAAAACTGTATTCCTTTAGCCCTATTTAACCGATAACATGTGTCTACAAGCACCCGAAAACTTTGGTTTTGCGACGTCATCGTACGATCAGGTGGACGCGTTGAAGGCCTTTGCTATCTTTGGCTAATCATTACTGGCGCAGAACTTGCACATATTACCAAGCCCATGTAATATTGGTATCAGATGCATGAGACATTTGTGAGCACTGCTATTGCCTTCATTTAGTATCATATACAATAAAATGAAAATTAGCGTTTTATCTCACGCCTGTCCGACGGTCAGAACGTTACGCCTGAGGCGCGACGGCACCGTGAGGGGCCTTTACCGGCGATGCCCGGCAATCGACATATTACCTAAAAGCCACTGCTCCTCTCAGCAGCAGGAAGTCCCAGATGAGTCTTTGACATGTGTCGCTCCAGTGCACTCCGTTGACTCTCACCTGTTGCTGATGCAGCCAGCTGACATGTTGATAGGTGTAAGAAGTAACCAATAAAGCAATACACGAACCATAAGCCACCGACATCCTTTCACATCGGTGTTAACGTGTCATGTCTCGTTGGAATGACCGTTTCATGTGTTTGGTATGCCGCCTTGTGTGTCGGCCGCGCCTCTCCGCATGTCAGGTGGCAGACTTTCCCGCGCCGGCCTCCGGTGTGGTGTCTGCGGGTGTCGGTGAATGTCGGTTGATGGCAGACCTGCTGCACCGGCCTTGTGGTGGTCGGTATGTGTCGCCCCTTATGTCGGGGGTGCGGACCCCTGCCTGCACCGGCCTTGGGTGTCGGTTGTGCGTCCCGTATGTCGGTGTACAGGACCTGCTGCATGCACCGGCCTCGGTGGTCCGGTGTGGTGCCCGCCCCGTATGTCGGTGTGCAGACCTGCTGCACCGGCACTTGGTGTCGGTGTGTCGCCCTGTATGTCGGTTGTGGCGGACCGGCTGCGCCGGCCTCGGTGTCGGTGTGCCCGTTGCCCCGTATGTCGGTGTGCAGGACCTGCTGCACCGGACCATCGGTGTCGGTGTGCTCGCCCAGTTACTGTCGGTCATGTGCGAACCTGCATGCAACCGGCCGTCGGTGTCGGTGTGTGCCGCCCCGTATGTCGGTGTGCGAACCTGCTGCACCGGCCTCGGTGTCGGTGTGCCGCCCCGTATGTCGGTGTGCAGACTTCCTGCGCCGGGCAGCGCCGGTGACGCGGGCCGGGCCCGCCTATTGATCGTCGGCGTCGGCGGCCAGTTCGGCGCGCCCGGCCGCCTGGTCGCGTCGGTCGACCGGCGGCCTCGGCGCGAGGCCTGCATGCGAGCCGGCGGCCGGCGGAGAGGCGGCGGCGAGGCTCGCGACCGCACCCATGGTGCTGGCGGAGGCCAACGCCAGTGAAGTCCGACTGGCGGAGGAGCCGGACGACACAGGTGAGCAGCAGCGCCAGCCGTGTGCCCGTCTGTAGCTGGGCAGGCGTGTGGCGGTGGGGCCCGGGTCTAAGGAACTGCTAATGACTTCAGCGACCCAGTTCAGTTTGAGAATGAGAATAATTCGTGTCGCGTTATCTAAAACGGCGAGCAAGCGAGTAAGCGACGTCGAGTGCTTACGTGATGCGACTTTTGTTTCCGTTGTAACGAAAAAGACCAACGTTTTTAAAATAACAACGGTATCGTGCATATGTCAGGCGTAGGAATTTTACGCGACGACGTGTATGTGCGACGTGCGGATTTCACGCGACCTTTATGGTCTGACGCGGTGGCACGAAGAGCGAAGCACATTCGCGTAATGAGAGTCATGAAGGTCATACGGAGGCACACGGCGGTGGGCAAGAGTGCACGGACGACCGTACTGTAGTGCTTCAGATCCGCTAGTCGGGCTGATGTAAGGAGCAGGTCCAAGACTTGTATGTACAGCGAAACATGTTTCCCTTACTGCACTTATCATGTATTGCTATGCTAACATGCTATTGCGTTGGTATTGACAAGAGGTGAGAAGCAGCTGCACTGCGTGTTTTTGCACGGTGTGAAGCAAAACAGCACTCCAACTGTACCAAGCTGATGGAAGAACTTCGACAAATCTGGTAGCGTCTACTATTAGTCGATAGGTTCGTCCTTCATCTTTTCACACTGCCCACACGATTCCCCACAAACCACGCATGACATTACAATATCTGCATTTTTCAGGGAAGAGGAGTAATAACCATACCTTTCCTACATGCACCAATGCGCAAGGTCAGCACAGCTGGTCGATAACTGGGGGGGGGGGGGGGCATGGGTGGGAAAGTTGAATACCACCATGCAGGGCGCGCCTTGCTGCGCCTGTCAGCAACACCACTCAGCCATGCATGTGTAGCTCTTTCTTCAGGCAGCCCCCTGTCTTTCCATATCCGGTCATTCGCCAAGGTCAGCCATCAGTCTTGTCCGTCACGTCTGTCACGTCTGTCACGTCCGTCACACTCGGCACATTGGTCACACCCGCCACACATGCGCCTGCGGTCAAGCTCGCATTGGCGTGGCGCGCTCGCATAAGTTGAACGTTGGGTCTATATTGGCAGCCGCTGGCCGTGCAGCAGCCGGCGATCAATTCGGACGGAATGGGGTGTCTAGCTGGTACGGCCGCCCCGTCCGCCGACGTGTGGCGCTGAGGTGGATAGATGACTCACGTGTTATGACCCGAACTGGGCGTCGGGGGTGCGAGCTGGGATCCGCTCCGCAGAACACGTCTGCTGACAAATGGGTCTGGCTTTCTTTCGCAATCACACGTTCCTGTCATGCTACGTGTATGACTTTGCACATTCGGGCGATATGGCTGGCAACCGGGCAGGGCGGCTCGTCGTCTCCGTTTTGTCGTTGATTCTGTCGAGTAACTGCGCTGATTCGTCAAAAGGGCTCACGTTCGAGAAGATGCTGAAGCAGAAGCGTGTAAGGCTTCGTCAGTGTACAAATTCAGTAATATCCTTTAGCAGATTTGCCTCAGCCATGGCTGCTATGAAATGCGCCATTTCCATTTCGTTTCACATGCCACCATAACACATTCGTCTTTGCTTCAAGGCATTCGGACTACGATCCGGGTGCACTTCACACTTGAGCAAACTAAGGAGCTGCGGTCGCCATGACCACTGCGTGCGAACTACGTAACCTGGGCCAGAGAGCACGAGAACATATCGTGTAATAACAGCTATCACACACTTGGAATGCATGACTACTAGTTTGCCTGAAGAGCAACTGCACGATTGACCTGAGATCAGTGACGAATATTCACCAAGCGTAAGGCAAAGAAGAGAATAAAGTCTGTGGACTCCGGTGACCAGAAAACATGTTGATTGCTTTATGTAGGGGACTGTAGTGGACTAACCCGACTTGACCCCATTTGCAGTGCCCGCCGAAGCCACTGTGTTCCTGGGTGCCGTCGGTGTGCTGCTCGTCCTCCTTCTCCTGGCCTTTCTCTACATGAACAAGCGCATTTGCCTGTACGACCTGGGAGGACACTGCTGCGAGGAGCTCCTGGCCAAGCCCTCCCACTACAACGTCCGGACGAGTGTTCGTAAGTACATTGTCAGCGTTTCTGAGGCCCGCGATTCGGTTCGGTAGTAACGCTGCGGACCCTGGTCAAGCTATTGAGCTTCACACCCGTCCCAGATTTGACGTGCTACGGATATCTCATTACGTCATACGTCCCTCGGGCGATTCGCCGCAGCACCTGCGACATAGTCACCTGATTCGCACACCACCGCCCTGCTTCGATGCGCGTCCGTGCTTCTAGCGTCGCCTTTGTCCCCTTCAGCGAATCACTCCCCTGCTCCACCAGTGCCTTCCCGTCTTTAGCTCCCGTTTCGTGTAACCCATCTGTTTCGTCTACGAGCACAAAAGTCCATTTGTTGCTCGGCTGGCCCTGCCAGGACGCTCGTCTGACGCATTCCGGACGGACGGCCGCCGGCGCTGTCACACTGGCGCAGCCCACATGTGGCCGTTCCGACCGACCCCCTTTCCGTCGACGTGACCTGCAAGCCCTGTCTTGGCTGCCTCGTGAGCCTCTCCTAGAATTATGCGCGGCAATCCACTGGCAAATGACTGACTGGCGGTGACACGATCGGACGGGATAACAAACCCCGATGGCTATTGGATTAGGTCGCTGACGAACAGGGTCCGTCACTTGGCTGGATCGTTGTTGTTGATTGGAGTTTCAGTGCGCGCCGACTACGGTGGTCATTTTACTTGGCTGGGTCAACACAACAGCAGAGGATTCGAATCAACATGTGTCAAACAGATACGAGTCTTGCTATTGCCCGAACTATAAAAATGAGGACTTGACACCATGACAGTTTACAAACCCCACCAAACACCGAAAAGCATTAAAGAAATAGGCCATCAAATGCATGGGATATGATTCAGTTTCACGTTTCTCTCCGATAATTTATATGAAACAAATCAATGTCGGATCCCGCTTCGGACCGAGCGGCCAGCCCTCAACTTCATTGCATTGCAGTAGTTCGATATTTCAGCGCAAGTTCAAATCAAAATCTGATTCCGAATCCACCTGCCCAAAGATTTGAATCCGAAGATGCTGCCAATGCTCGCCTCTAGCTAGCGCCCACGCCGAAGAGGACAGGTGACCTGCCAGTATGGGATGCGCAGCCTCTGTTGTGCCCCTGCAGCCTCGGTCTGCGTAGACGAGAGGGACCTGGCTCAGATCATAGACCATTGGCTCAGCTCTAACCTCATGGCGAATCAACAGCATACTGGAGTAACCAACTCAATCCGGGCTGGCATTCTTCCATGCCACTCTACAGTTTGAGTTTGGGCTGGGACGGATGTGACATGGCTGCTGATCTTCCCCCATGGGCTCCCACTCGTTTTGTGGCCCGCCGTACCTTCGGTACGCCCCGTGCGCCGTACTTTCCGCACGCTCCGTACGCCGCACCTTCCGTACCGTGACGCTCCCATGCGTCTGCAACGCCCGCAATGTGTGCCCGCGATGTAAGAGTAGGGTGCGCTGCGCCGGTCTGGCGGTCATGAAGACGTGGAGGGCGGCGCACTCAGCCCTGCGCTGTCGTGGCGCCCGCGGCTGGCACAACACTGAATCACATTCCGTCTGTTTTCTGCCGCATGTTCGTTCATGAGCGCGTTTTCAAGGGAGCACATTGTGCTTCAGCACAAAGATGTGCATATGATGTGTTTTTATTTAACGTGCGTATGAAACACGGCACTCGGAATGCTCAATCGTTAGGGCCCGTGACCGGTCATGATCGCGAAGACCGGGCCTTCGCAGAACCTTTCACCATCCCACCTTCGCACCAATGGTGGCGATGCTGTGGGGCCTGCTGCTATATACGTGCATACTCATCCAATGATTAATTAACTTTCCTTGGTCCTGAATAATCACGCCAACCACTTGTTCCTTCCACGCGCGCATTGCGACCTTTTCCCCTCCTCAAATCGTGAAGAAGTCCTATCAAAACGCTTGCTGAAGCTATAGACAATGACACATGCCCCGGTCCCTTCACTTTGGTCCATAGGAATCCCGAGCGTCCACTTTCAGCCACTTAACCACTCACGCTTCGATGTTGCCGTCAATATTCGCGAGCGATAATGCCCTTTGGTGTATCTCTAGCATAGCGAGCGTCAATGTAGGCAGCGGGCGCCCGGCCGCGCGGACCCGGCGCTGCGTGCCGCGAGCGTGAGCGCAGCGTGTGACGCCGGCTGCTCCGGCCGCCGCCAGACGAGCCGGCGGACGGCGGCGACAGCTCGTCAGAGCCGGACGAGACCGTGGTGCGGCGGCTGCGTGCGGCCGCGCCGCTCGCCCGGCCGGCGCCGCGGCCCGACCGGGCGCGCCAGCACGGCGGCATCGGGTACGAGCGGCCCAGCCTCTACCGACAGTTCAGCCTGCAGCCTGCGCCGGCGGGCACCGCCCCCGACCGGCCACCCTCCACAGGTGAGGCTCGGCCTGCCCGGCCACCCTCGACAGGTGAGGCTCGGTCTGTTCAGACCACCCTCGACAGGTGAGGCTCAGTCTGTTCAGACCACCCTCGACAGGTGAGGCTCAGTCTGTTCAGACCACCCTCGACAGGTGAGGCTCGGTCTGTTCAGACCACCCTCGACAGGTGAGGCTCGGTCTGTTCAGACCACCTTCGACAGGTGAGGCTCGGCCTGTTCAGACCACCCTCGACAGGTGAGGCTCGGCCTGCCCTGACACCCTTGATATGCGAGGTTCGGCCACATCTCAGGTGCTATTGGGACCATTTTGGCGACGTTAGATGCGTCGCCTTGGGCTGACATTTGTAGGCTATTGCGGCTGAACGCCTGGGCTGACATTTGTAGGCTATGGCGGCGGAACGCCTGGGTTGACAATTTGGCGACGTTGGATGAGCCTCCGTTTGGGCTGACATTTGTAGGTTACGGTGGCGGAGCGCAATGCTCAGTTTGCGGAAAAGCTCAGAGTGCACCGCTGGTGAGCGACGCCGTTGGTCGGCGGCCGCATCGATTGCCGTTGCCTCCATGTCATTGCGGTAAGTTTGGTAGCAATTGCTTCTGAATGTCCAAGGAAAATGTGGTCAGGACACTGACAATGACGGTCACCAGCGCAAGATACCTCAGAGCTGTCTGCGCCAGCCGAGCGGTTCAGCATCTCTCTGGTCCGAGCGCTTGTCTTCAGGGCACATAACACAGCTGTTTCCATAAGCCTCCTGCAGCGCAACACGCAGGGAAGTTTGATGTCTTCTTGCTCTGAAGCGTCAGAACATTACAAGTCGCACAGGCAAATACTTTGTTTGCTTCCCATGTGTTCACTTCAACGAGCGGAAAATTATATAAATCACTTGTTTTACCTCACGTGTGTGTCGTATAAATTGCATGTTTTACTTCACGTGTGCGTTGCATACATCACTTGTTTTACTCAACGAGTGTGCCGCATAAAACATTAGTACATGACTTTCACACATCGCGTTTCGCCTGTCAGCTGTTATGTGATCAACACAACCGGTTACAGAGCTGAAGCGATTAATCGCTATTAACTCTGTCATCTAGATCGCTGCAGCGAGGCGATGTGCCACGCTTGCTGCTGAATGTACTGACCGAACCGTCCTCCGCCAATGTGTCACACTCCATTTCATTTTGGTGCGAAATTACTGACGCCCGCTGGGGGTCCTTGAAGTGCCAAATGGAAGCGATTCGCCTCCTGCGCCAGGGAGCATGACCGCTAGGACTGACTCAGCGCCTCGTGCGATCGATTTCGGCCACGGCTACGAGTGGCGGGCTGACAGCACACTGTCTGAGGGGCGCCCCGATGAAGCGGGCCTCTAGTCTGCACTGGAATAAGTGAGGCCCTGTAGTCTGACCGCAATGCAGCCATGGCGCAGGGTTGGCAGTCTGAAGTTGGTAACCACCAACAGTCCAGTGTGCCGGCCCAGCGGACGCTTCTGGCATTGCAACTTCCTACTGTCGAGGCAACTGAGCAGGAACATATGGAGCACTTGGGACCCGAAAGAAACTATTCGACTGAGGGCAATCGGTGATTTTCTGTTGAGCACGAAGACCTAGCAACGATAAAGCCGTCCCGTAGCATTGATAATCATATTCTTCGTAAGTCTCTCGAAACTCACTCAGCAGACATGGGTCTGAATCCCAAGGGTGCATTCAGGATGCTATGGCGTTCGATGTTAATGGGATACTTGGGTCTGATCTCAAGTGGGAGTTTTGGGGCTTCAAAGCACCCATCGGCCCGAAAACAGCACAATATTCGTGATCAAAGAGACTGTCTATCGAAATTTGGCTTCTGGAAATGACAATGCAGGAGATGATGTGTGCAAAATATTGCGAGGGAGCGAGCTGAAATCCGACCACGTTACCATACGCCAACTTTGTGCTTGTCGAGTAATTTGGGTCAACTTTATTTCGACGAACGGGACTTTTCTTTCCTTGAAAAAGTTTTGTCAGCTACCACACGTTCCTTCATCCTAAGAGGCCATCCTAGGAGGCCATTCTAGGAGGCCATCCTGGGAGGCCATTCGTCATGCTAGGAGGCATTCATGGCCAGTAGATAATGCCCAAAGGGATGTTTTTCCTAATTTTGCTGTAATGATCCAGCAAAAGTATTGGTGGGGCCTACGCCTACCTTGGGGAGCCCAAGCCAGAATTTAGGAGGAGGGAGGGCCGTGGCTCTCCCAAAAAGGTATAAGTCGACACCCCTGCGTGGTACAGTAGCTATGGTCTTTGGTGTCCTGCTGTGGATCCGCGCTGCATACTTAACCCGCCCCCCCCCCCCCCCCAGCATAGCTATAAGATGACTTGCCAGCACCACCGTCCAGAGTGCGCCGTATGCCTGCCGTTAAAAGCTGAACAGTCCCTGATTGGAACGACCTGCGTAGTTGTCGAACGATCTGCTGTGGAAGCCACTCCTCCCCAAGCGGACAATGCAGGCCTCTCTCCTTGAACGACACTCGCCCTTTTAGCCAGTTGCTTTTTAGTTCTCGCTTCTTGCACCTGCATATGCAAGAAGCATGCAAGTCTGCATAAGCATAAGCAGACAAGTCTGCATTGTCACGCAGATGACGTCGTCATCGTCCTTGAAAAGTCGCGCAGTATGGAGCGGCGGCGGCGGGCGGGCCGCGGTCATCGAGCGGTCGTCAGTGGGAGCGCAGGCAGGCCGGGGCGGGCTGCGATAGATCACAGCATCGATCAGCGCACCGTGGTCGCGATCCGAGTGGCGGCCCGATCCCGCACACCCGCCTGTTTTGTGCCGCCGGCGGCGCGGCGCCCGCCCCCGCCACACAATCTTGACACAAAGATTAACGGCACGGCCCATCGCCCCCCCCCCCCCCCTCTCCCCATCCTCCCCCAGCTGGCTTGCTTGTACACTCGCGAATGCAAAGGAGCGGGCAGGCTCATGCAGCCAGCACCCAGACAGCACCGGAGCGGCACAGCCGCGTGTGGCCGAACTGTCGCCGGCGGGTGACGCCGAGCATGCTTGACCTATGACCCCTTTCTTCTCCGACCGGCCAGCGCTGGCAGGCGGAGTTGTACTGATGCTCGGCCTGAGCCTTCGCTGCAACGAAGCAAGGATAGGACCTCAGTCTGACTGAGCGGCTCAAGTTCGGGGTGACTGATAGTGACTTCTGCTGCGGCAGCGTGAGGGCCGGGCTTTGGTAGTCTGGCCGAGTGGGTCAAGGTCGGGGTGACTGATAGTGACTTCTGCTGCGACAGCGTGAGGACCGGGCTTTGGTAGTCTGGCCGAGTGGGTCAAGGTCGGGGTGACTGATAGTGACTTCTGCTGCGACAGCGTGAGGACCGGGCTTTGGTAGTCTGGCCGAGTGGGTCAAGGTCGGGGTGACTGATAATGGCTTCTACTGCGACAGATAGGGGACCGGACCTCAGCCTGGCCGAGCGGGGCAGGGTCGGCGGAGGCACCTCGTCCTCCTCGTCCTCCACCACGTCCGGCGAGGACGATCTGACGTCATCACTGCGTCACCGTGACGTCAGACGGCATGGCCAGCTGTCGGGCCGCACCCGCAGTCTGGACGCGCCGCCGGAGGCCTCGACAGCACCATGCCTGGGTCCACGCATCACCCACACAGAGGTAGGTGAGCCGCGATGCCTCTATGGTAACAAGTCGAGGAGAGATAGAGCTCGTGTGGGTAGAGATAGTAGAAAGTTTCAAGAATGCATCTGTTTATCATTTACACATGGCATGGGTTGCCACAGCGGTTTCTCGGTTGCACAAAACGTTGCGGACGTGTTACGCGGCTGGTATGAGACAATGGAGAGAGTGCTGATCTCCTGCGTTTCTGGCCAGGAGCGTCTGTTTGACGTGGCTGACCTGGAGGAGCCCGATCTTCGGTCGCCCTGCGGAGCCGTGGAGGTGGCCTTCGCGTACGACTTCCCGACCAAGAAACTAACGGCACAGCTGCTGCAGGCGCGGAACGTACCCAGCCGGGACAGGGGCGGAGCCAGCAGCGCGCAGGTGGGTCACAGCTTGCAGACGCCCAGCCGGCACAGAGGCGGAGCCAGCAGCGTGCAGGTGGGTCACAGCTCGCAGACACCCAGCGGGAAAGAGGCGGAGGCAGCAGGACCTCCGTCAGTGGAACAAAGCCGGCCAGAGGAGCGCTGACGGTCGCTGTACCGCGGATTACATTTTCTTGCGGTCGCCTCAAGCCGCTGTCAGGCTTTTTCACATGTCAGGCAAATGTTCGCTGGCCTCTGTCTGACGCCATTATTTTCTCCCTGGTATGATTTATTATCTGTCTTCTCTTCATAAAGGTGACAATTACTCCACGGATCCCGTTTCGGGTAATACACTCGCGACCAAGGCAGAATAAGACAAGTGACACACTTGCGTCTGTTGTCGGGACAGAGACGGGTTCATGGCAGAATGTCTAAACAAGCTTTCCCAGTCCTTTTGGTAATTCCTGCCATTTATAACAACATATCCGACTGCTTTCTCCCTCTTTACAACGTTTGGAACGACAGGATCTATTCATACCTGCATCTTTCACCTACAAGGCCTGCTGCCGTTCTAAAGAAAAGTCGCCATTATACCTGGCGTGCATGATACCCCTTCTCCCTCATAGTCTATAGGAACATATTTGCTCAAAAGATATTTGGTGGCTGCAACGTTAAAGAGCACGTGACATGTAATATAAAACCCCAGCGAAGAGCCGCATCCTAACAGGTTATGGGCCCTGCTTGCACCAAAACACACGTCAAAGCGGGGATGTTTTCCGACGGGGCGATTGCAAAGCGAGCAGACCTGTGATTTGATTATCTCTTTCCGCCACGACGGCCAGCCAGCCGTGCCTGCAGCCGACCTCTGACCTCTGCAGTCTCGTGCTCTCAGGTGCGCCTGGTCCTTCTGCCCGGAAAGAAGTCGCGGCTCCGCAGTCGGGTACAGCCCGGACCGAACCCGCAGTTCAACGAGGCGCTGGTGTTCCACAAAGTCGGCGCGGGTGAGGCCATTCATTTGATCAGGTGTCAGGTGGCACCAGTTCGTGCGAGCATGCGGGGAGATCACCACGGAAGCCAGTGGTGGGAGTTGACGACAGTTCTGGTGTCTGGTGCCCAAGTTCGGCTGACCAGCACAGTGCATCACTCATTATCGCCGCCGAGCTCCACGCACAGGCCGGATCAGTTCACCATCCAGGCCCATGTCACGTGCTGCCCACCGGCCGCTGTCACGTGCTGCCCACCGGCCGCATTTCACCATCCAGGCCCATGTCACGTGCTGCCCACCGGCCGCTGTCACGGGATTTAATCGCAAAGGGTGACGCGGGAGGACGTTTTCCCTAAATTTCCCTAAAACGATATTATGTTCACTGCATTGCTCGCAAAACAAACGTGGGAAGCAGCTGTTTAAATGCTTCCCTCCAGTACGCCATTGCTTGCCGTCTTACCTTCCTAAAGCTTGACTTGCCCCCTCCCACGCCATATGTGGGATGGGGCTCTGTGACTGACCGATGTAACCCCTTCCTCTTTAAGGTGACCCATGGCTGTGACCGAGAAAGACCAATGACATCCCTCGCTACATAGTTGGGGATCACTATGCGACTGTATGCAGGCATCTACAGCAGACCCTTCCCTTCCAAAACAAACCCAGCCGCCTGCTGGGTGTGGCCGTCCAGCTGAGGCTGTGTGACCGCGATGTCGTCGCTGACACAAGTCTGCACCACATGAACTTCGTACGAGCCTAGCTGAGTCCGCGCGGCGGAGGTGACCCCCTCGCCCGTACCGACAGAGGACCTGCCGTCCATGGGGGTGCGGCTGCGGCTGTACGGCTGCGAGCGGCTGCGGCGAGAGAGGATGATCGGCGAGGCGGCCGTGCCCTTCTCCAGCGTCAACATGGAGCAGCAGACGCCCCAGTGGGTCAGCCTGCAGCCCAGAGCCAACATGACGGTACGCATGGCATCCTCGGTCATTCCCCTCCTGTCGCTAGCAGTCGGGACAGGATGCCTCCCAAAGGCAATCGTCCGCCGTTGCAGGTAGATTATGTCCTGTCGTTCTCGGAGAGTCGGTAGTCCTCGCCTGCTTGTCTGAGCCGATTTAAACTGGGGCTGGCAGCCTCCAGAGCTTATGCCTGTCCATGCCAAGACTTACAGGAAGGGTCACGGGCATACCTGCCAATATTTTGTCTGGAACGCGAGCTGCTTTTGTGTTATATCTTTTACGACCCTGCCCTTATGGACTTCCGTTTGTTCCCGTCTGATGGTCTGTCCAGTGAGGGTGACGTTACACGTCTCGCTGCCGTAGCTGGCGCCGAGCGGCAGCAGCGGCGACATCAGCTCCCTGTCCCGGAGCGACAGCACCGGCAGCACGCAGAGCATCCAGCGAGGCGGTCTGCCGGAGCTGCTGCTGGGTCTGCAGTACAGCGCCGCCACCGGCCGGCTGGCCGCCGAGGTCGTCAAGGGCTCCCAGTTCAGGTGAGAGGTCCCCGCGGCGCTCCTCGGGGCTCCGGCGCACCGGTGAGCCGGGCTCCCAGTTCAGGTGAGGGGTCCCCGCGGCGCTCCTCGGGGCTCCGGTGCACCGGTGAGCCGGGCTCCCAGTTCAGGTGAGGGGTCCCCGCGGCGCTCCTCGGGGCTCCGGTGCACCGGTGAGCCGGGCTCCCAGTTCAGGTGAGGGGTCCCCGCGGCACTCCTCGGGGCTCCGGCCAGCCCGACTCCGGTGCACCGGTGAGCCGGGCTCCCAGTTCAGGTGAGGGGTCCCCGCGGCACTCCTCGGGGCTCCGGCCAGCCCGACTCCGGTGCACCGGTGAGCCGGGCTCCCAGTTCAGGTGAGGGGTCCCCGCGGCGCTCCTTGGGGCTCCGGCCAGCCCGACTCCGGTGCACCGGTGAGCCGGGCTCCCAGTTCAGGTGAGGGGTCCCCGCGGCGCTCCTTGGGGCTCCGGCCAGCCCGACTCCGGTGCACCGGTGAGCCGGGCTCCCAGTTCAGGTGAGGGGTCCCCGCGGCGCTCCTTGGGGCTCCGGCCAGCCCGACTCCGGTGCACCGGTGAGCCGGGCTCCCAGTTCAGGTGAGGGGTCCCCGCGGCGCTCCTCGGGACTCCGGCAAACCGGACTCCGGTGCATCGGTGGGCCTGATCCACTCTCGACTTTTATACGTCGAACATCTATCAAACTACGCTGGAAGTAGTGCCGTGTACTCCATGTTTTGCGGTGCGCCAGAAGGTGATCCCAGCTCGATAGTGGATCAGCTGTGTTAGTACGTGGTGACCTGACATGTTCGTGGTCGCACCGCAGGTCGAGCGTGGGCAGCCGGGCGCCAGACACGTACGTCAGGCTTCACCTGCTGACCTGCAACGGTCAGGAGATAGCCAGGAGCAAAACGTCGCTCAGGCGCGGACAGCCTAACCCGCTCTACAAAGAGACATTCATTTTCCAGGTGATTGTAGCTTGCGGCGCTGTTTACGTGAACCAAAAGACGTGTTACAAGGCATAAATGCGCGTTTACTTGCATGATGTTTCAGGTAAACGGTACATTAAAAGGTGTGTCATTGGAGCTTAACGACTAACTCAGTTGCTAAGCCTTTGTGGTTACACCTCTCCCAAAATATGGGAAAACAGCTGTCACCGAATTTCATTCACATTATTTTCGAAGTTATGGTGTTTAAGCCCCCTGCCCTTCCCAAACTGAGTAAGATGCTACATTCCTGGTGATGTGGATTGCCTGATTTACATCGATGTTTCTTTTTAATATATATATTATTCTTACGCGGTGATCATTTTCTTAAGTCTCGCCTTTTACAAGGTTCATTTGGGAGGCGAGTAGGCAAGTAGAGGTGCTCACATTATGGCGGTACTTCCGGCCACGGTAGTGCGGTATGTAAAGCAAAAGAATGCGAGCTCCAGCCTATATGTTGTTCGGCATTGGTTTGGGTGGAAATATTTCAGGACCAACAATTTTTCGCAGGCGTATGAAGCAAACAATTTGCGGAAGGATTTGACTGATGATTCATTTGAATGCTTCCAGAACTTGTTCTCGAATAACGCTGCTTCTCGAAGGCCTACAAACGCTATACATACGACATTTCCATAGACAAATATGAGGCATTGGAAATCACGATGGAGAATGAAAAAGGGCAAGACGCTGATAGGTACACAGGTCGTGTGCGTACATCTCATGAGAGCTGTGGCTCTAACAACACTCTTTCCTCCCTCAGGTGCCTCTTTTTCAGCTTTGTGACGTCACGTTGATGGTCAGCGTCTACAACAAACGCAGCATGAAGAAGCGAGACCTGATTGGCTGGTTCGCACTTGGCCACAACAGCTCTGGCGCCGAGGAGCGCTCCCATTGGACGGACCTGAGACACGCGCGCGATGTGCAAATCTGTCGGTGGCACGTGCTGTGCGAGGAGTAAGGCCCGCTCTTTCTGGCCTCACTTACTGTGCTTTGCAACATGCCAACGTTGTTGAAGCTTACCGATTGCAAGCAGCTATTTCGCCTGGGAGAGATCCACGGGTACGCAAGTCAAGTGCTGTGTAATTACCTATGTATTAGTTAAGCCTTCGAGCTTGGGGATACACCAGGGACACACCATAATCTAGCGTGGAGCAAAAGCACATTCCTCTTAATTTAAAACTACGCCCAAGTTGAGCCGAATCTCGCGCCTTGCTTGACTTACGCCCATTTTGATGCCTTCGGCAGCTGTGTTTAACCTCCTACGTAAAGTCTAAAGAGATGCGTTGTGGATCCTCCCTCGCTTCAGCGCGTGTGAGCACCTGAGTTCTATTAACATGACTAATAGGCTGAGCTTATCACTAGCTTGCAGCTCGACGTCGGTCGGTACAGCATCCTACCCAATGCCATTGCTGGCCGGGTACCCCTCTTATTCTTAAATGCTGAGCTTATTCTTTTCACGACATAGATTTACAAGTTGAGCTTAAAGCTATTTAGATTCTTGAAGACCCTTTAACGACGAATCGCATCATGTTTTACTTTTGCGCTTTATTACTGGTGCACTTAAGTTTCCCAATGGCCCACGTAAGGCATAGACGGGACAGGAATGGAATGCGCGGTGCCGACCACCGAACAGTAGGGTGAATAGTTCCTTTGTTATTCGGGAATTTGTGAACCGATTTTTGTGAATCCTGACCTGCATCTCCTGCAACGTGCCTGTTAGACCTGTTTCGCTGCACCTTTGATGCGCATCGTATGAGATGAGAAAAGCAGACACATGGCACGGGCAGGGAGGTCGTGTGTTTGTCATGTCCCTATTTAGCTGGTTTCACGAAGTCCCCTGCGGGAAAACATAATTTGTACAAAGCGCGACTGTGACTGGACTGTTGAACCTTTGATAAGAACGCGTGCTGGCCACGCTTAGTTGGACATTGCTGCTCAACTTCCTGTTTATCAAGACGCACAAGTATTGTAACACAGCATGGCTGCGTATCATTACGCGAATGTCTACGTCCCGCACGGGAAAGGTATTATGTGCACCCTCAATTTAACCTATGTAGAATGTGCAGTAGGTAAGAGCGAAGTTATATGCATATATCTACGACATTTTTTCCAGGGTGCGGTGTCTGGGATCGTTATGGCACATGTTTTGCGTGTAAAAAGTAATCATCAGTGGCGTAGCCAGGATTTCGCCCAGAAAGGGCCCAATTCGGGTCCTGCGGGGCCTTTTCAGCTAAGGTGACCCACATCGTCGCTATAGCGGCCCTGTTTTGTACTCAGAGGGACTTGAGAAGCTCGTGACTCTATTTTGATGCCTCGGGGTAGGTTTTGGATGTTTTCGAAGCCTTGTGAGCGTCTTAAGCTGACAAAAAAGGACTGGGTCGCAGGCCCAGGGGCCCTGCCACCTCTGCAGAGTGGCCATGGCCCCAAAAACCTCACACTGTTTCACCATTGGCAACCAGAGTCAGCATTCTGCACTGAGGAGGCACCCGATCCAGCTATTGAAGCAAACAAAGTAGTAGTTCGTTGAGAAAACAACTGCAGTAAAATGGCTGCTGGTGAGCTTTGACAGTTGCGAGTTGCGCCACACGCTGGGAGCGCAGTTGATTATGGGCGCGTCAAAGTGAACTTGATTTCGAGTGGCAACGACAAGCATGCCAATTGTCTTTCTTTGTTCGCTGATGTACGTACCGCATTTGAGCGCGCGAGTTATGAACATGGTGTACCACATGCGAGCACAATTGTCAGTATTTTTGTCGTAGTATACCACACTGGACACTTCGCAGATATTGCCTTGCAGTGGACGCCAGTACTTTTCTGCAGTCGTTTAGTGTTCTTGCAAATGCATTCCCTGGAGGAATGTTGTGTTGTACACAGTGATCGCTGCCGGCCTTCACTCATTATGTGAGCCCGGCAGCGGTACGGTCCTATATGCGTCCGTCAAAACCCGAAACACGAACATTGGCTTTGGTATGCATCAAGTGTACACGGTTGAGATAAAGTAGCGCAGTTACTGCTGACATTTGCCTTCTGGATCCCATCTATCTGACCAGACCACATCAAGCCCAGCCTGTCCTGGCCGTAGCCCAGGTCCCTGTCCAGCCGCTCACCACCCTGCTGACCGCTCAGATTCCGCTCGGCTGCCCCCACCCGGAGCCCTGCTGGTGACATCACACTCCGTCACCGGTGGGTGTGGTCGGGGTCCTCCTGGTTGACGTCACACTCGGTCACCGGTGGGTGTGGTCGGTCCTCTGGTGACGTCACACTCGGTCGGTGACGGTCCTTGACGTCACACTCGGTCACCGGTGGGTGTGGTCGGTCCTCTGGTGACGTCACACTCGGTCACCGGTGAGTGTCGTCGGTCCGCTGGTGATGGCCGTGACCTCGCGGTGACCGCCCCATGTCAGCTTCAGGTGTCTAGGTCGCGACCGGTGACACGACCGCGTACGGAGTGGCGTCGTGTGATGTGACACTGCGTGCCCCAGGGCTTGGCGGTGCTCCTCAAGTGAATGAGGCGTCATAGGTTAGCTCTGAGACTTTCGCTTACCCGTATATTATCTTGTTGACTGAGCCATTGAAATGCAAATGTCTGCATCAGCTCTCACGGGTCTGATGTCTCGGTACGGAATATTCCTCTATTGTGTAACACTGTGTCCGCAATTATCACAATAAATATTTGTCTTTTGTTGAAATGGATTTACTTTCCTCCCATCGGCACCATGAATCAGTGATGCGCGTGCTCTTTATTTTGGGTGCTGGCAAAAGAAAATGCGAGAAAACTGAGGAAAGGAGTGGTCGACCAATTGTGAGGTGATCAGTTTTGGTGAAGTTTCTCCATCGTGTTACCTATTTGGGGTACGATGAATGTAGCCAGCCAAACTTATGTCGAGTATGAGTAAACCTTCAGCTGGCGAGTAATGTTGAAACTGATGCCTCAGAAACAGGCACGAAGTGACAGGGGCAATTCAAGCGACTGGGTTGCTTGCAACTGTGGGTTGCAGGAAGCCAAATACCCGTTCGACGCCATGGCCGCACACGGGTAAATAAGGCATAGAGAGACAGCGCATCGGCGCGCTTTTGTAAGACGTTGTACGGAGCAAGGGCGGATCCAGAGGGAGGGGGGGGGGAGACACAGGGTCATGCCCCACCCCTTGGGCCTTGAAGAGGCCCATTGGCTCCGAGGGGGTCCATCGCCGGCCGATCAGTTGCAGTTCTTTAAAATACAACGCAGAAAAACTGGATATCTCTGGACTTCCAGAGGACCAAGAACAGTTGTAAGTGGAAGTTAAGCGCTTATGAGAAGTAAAAAAAAATCATTAAGCGATTTAAAGTTGTAAACTGGAAATTTTAAGCCTCATTGCACCGTTTAAAGGCCCATTCTGCTTCTGGGAGACCTCTATGCCCACTTTCAGGATCATTTCGATAGTTAAGGAGCATTCCACGCTGTCCTTTATTTCTTTGCGGTTGCTCGGGGAGCCCTGCGCTGTTGTTGGGGCCCTTCCTGCTAGCGTACCGGGGCACTCTTGTCAATCACGGGCCATTCCACGTGTTTTTTTTCCATTCGCCAAAAAGGCTCTGTGGGCTATAGCCGGGGTCCCATATCTTAACCTGCCGGATATTCTCGGTTGCCCAGGGGCCCTTTACGTGGGTCTCGGTTAGCATATTGACACACTTGCAACATGCCCATGGGCTCTCTTCATTGGTCTAGGGCGCTACCAATGCTCTGTCACTTGCTTAGGTCCCTGCACTCTTGTCGGGGGCCCATCTGATGGCCTGCTTGAGCACACCAGTCGTTCGGGAACCCTTCACACTAGGTCTTAGGTACTTCTTTTCTTAATGGGGGCCGCACGCGTGGGAAAGGGGCCTTTCTGATAACCTGCTCGGGCACATTCAATCGTTTGGGGCCCTCTACATGAGGCCTGGGGCACGTGCTATTTGAAGCGGCCCTAGGCACTTGTCGGGGGCCCCTCTGTTCGCCTCCTCAGCCACACTGGATTGCTCGGGGGCCCTGCACATTGCTTCTTGGTGTTTGAATTTAGGGCCCTCAGCTCGGGGTCATCTGACGACCTGTTCGGGTACACTCCATCTTTCGGGGGCCCTGCGCACCGGGTTTTGGGTACTTCTTATTTGAAGGAAGGGCCTTACGCTCCTATCGGGGCCCCTTCTGATAAGGTGCTCGGGCCCATTCGATCGTGGGGACCTCTACATGTGGTTTTGGGTACTTTCTTTTTGAATGCAGGGCCCTCCGCGCTCTTCGGGGGCCCTGTCTGTTAACCTGCTCTGGTGCACTCGATTATTCGGGGTCCTCTGCATTGGGTCTTAAATGCTTCCTATCTGAACGGAGGGGCTTCGCTCTTTTTTGAGAGCCTTATCCGTTAACCTGCTCGGGCACACTCGACCATTCGGGGGCCCTCTACATTGGGTCTTGGGTACTTCCTTTTTGAATGGAGGGCCCTACGCTCTTGATGGGGCCCCGATATGTTAACCTGCTCGGGCGCACTCGGTCGTTCAGAGCCCTACACATCGTGTCGTGAGTATTTCTTTTTTGAATGGATAGCCCTATGTTCTTGGCGGGCCCATATAATAAGCTGCTCGGGCCGTTGGCGGATGCAAAGGGGGAGGAGAGGCACGACACCATGTCCGATGGACCATGCCGAGGGAACCTAAAGGTTCCGAAGGGGCCCATAACCGGCCGGACGGACGCAGTTTTCTTACAACAAAGCTGGAATCCTTTGAACCTAAAGACCACAAAGAGTAATTGTTAGCAAAAGTAAATAGTTCATAAGCAGGCTAAGTTTGTTTTTTGTTGATTGAGAAAATGTTGCTTGGGGAAATTTTGGAGCTCATTACGCTGCCTACAGCCACTGCGATGTTGGTTTCCTGGCCCTATATGTCCACTTGCCGGGTCAATCTGATCGCTAAGGAGTTTTCCACGTTGCCCTTGATCTCTTTGTATTTTCTCGTAAAACCCGATGTGCTGTTGAGACGCTATATGCCTCTATGCCTGAGCGCAGTTGATCGATCGGGTTTTCCTCCGCAGTTTCTCCCCATTCGCCCGAAAGGCTCTTTTTGCTTTTTCCAGGTCCCATATGCCATGATACAATCAGTTGCTCAGGGGTCCTTCATTGAAGTCCCGGGCTATTCCTACTTGCTTGGAGGGCCTTGTGCTGTTGCTAGGCCTCTTATAAGGTAAGGCACGGAGACACTCGATGCTCAGGGGCCATCTACTTTGATCGAGGGCTCTCTCCCTTTGGTCTCATCTGCGGAGGACTCTTCACTCCTATCGCACAGGGGTATTAATTCATGGTCTTGGATAACCCCGTTTCGCTCGGAGGGTTCTGCGCTCTGGCTGGGGTTTTATATATTAGCCTGCCGAGGCACTATCGGTCTTTCATGGGCCCACCACGTTGGTCTTGGGTTCTTTTTGCTTGCTCTGCGGACCCTGTACTTGTTGACGGGAGCCACTTTGTTGGCCTCCTGCGGCACCCATGATCGTTCAGGTTTCGTCCTTATTGGCCCTGGTGCCTTCACCTCAGAGCACCGGTCGAATATGCACCGATGAATTTTTACGCGCAATTGCCGAACGTAAGTTTACATGCCGCCGACGTCGTATGTGTCATTTTCATTAGCTACTGAGTGTGTGACACTTATTATACTAGCGCATCACATTCTTAACATATTTCGAATGCCAGGACATGTTGTACTCCTTTATAACGGAGCAAACATTTTGCTTTGTCATCAGCCATCAACTGATTACATCGCCCAGGCGGCTAGCCGTAAAAGCATAAGCTTGGAATCAAGTCCATGGCTGGTTTTAATGGTTGTTAGAAGCTATCTCGAGTTCATTTTGTCTGCTGTGCCGAAACACCGAAACACACTGTCTCTGGATAGATTTCTGGGTTCATCATAACGTCCGGAATGGCTTTGTTAACCAGCGAGTTAGATCCCCCCACCCACCCACCCAACCCTCCAATGCGTAGGGGCTACACATCAGCAACACAAATTTAGAGCGCTGCATGCAGCGAATACAGGTGCTGCAATGCCTTTGTGATAGGCGGTAAATGTTACCATACCATTCACATGGGTTGACCCCGTTCAACATCAAACGCGTCATGATCAAGATGTTGATGAACATGAAGATGTTGATTGAAATAAAGCGAATGAGGATAATTGTATGCAAGAATTTGCTCTGGCCTGTGCCTTTATCTCCACCATACTTAAGCCACCTTGACCGTCGTGAATGCGCGGCGCACCTTTTTAAATCATTTGTCCAAATAGAAGAGCTTGATCAAACCATCTGAATTATTTCTAGATACGGGGGGCAGTATCGGCATAGAACGAAATTCAAGGATATCTAGGTTCCCGAATGTCTGCGGCCCTATCGGTAGGTACAACACGATTCTGAGGCAAACTTCCAGCACAAGGTCGGATAAAACATTTTCATAAAGTATGTACTATCCGGGGACAAACGACTAGTTTTTCCATTGAAACAGAAGTGCAAAATGGTCTCAGTAAACTGTGGCTTTGCCTCCCCCCCTCCCCTCCCCCATTTCCATCTAAACAAGAGTGTTTTGGTTTCCTGCTCACCTTTTTCATCCGCCCCTATGAATCACAGCGAGCGTCGCAAACCTCTAGTTTTGCATATCGCCGACAGGTGTCTCTGAGGCAGAGCTCGGCTCCCCATCGGAGCCGGCGCAGTTCATCATGCGTGGGAGCCTGGCTTACCGTCCCCCTTAGTCAGTGGCGGGTGAGTCAGTGTGCAGTCACCACCCATGTGGCCTCGATCATGACATCCTGCTGGCTCTGGATATCTGCCACCGTCTGGATCTCAACGCTTCTTTCGAGAGGTAACATCCAGCAGTCTGAAATGTTGCTGTGCATTCAGAATCTTCTTTGGCCAACATATTTTTGCTTGCTGGTTCCGTTGAGTTCCCAATCATTGTATGCATCCACGCTACACTTACCTGCGATGCATCCCGGTTCGCAAAGACGCCAGAGCATCCGCAGTCTTCGATGCTTTCCGCGTCTGTACAAAGGTGATCCAGAACTTCGTGAGGGTGTCCGGGAGCCAGCGACAATTTGTGCTGCAATTCAGTGTCCCTCTGACGTGGATCATCCATCCCATGAAACTATTTGTTCTTTTTCAACCGGTTCAAGGTGTATATCAACACGCAAGGCAGACAGTGCTGGGTACTGTTGTGCTAAATCATGCATGCACATTTATTTGAGGGCTCACAGCTACCCGGTCGCATGTGAAAGCTGACATCGGGTGGTGCAGTCATCTTTTGCTTAAGTTAGGTAAGTATGTGTTTCCTGCTCCCCCAAACTTGACTTTGGAAACTGCTACTGGAAGAACTTACTGCGCCTACCCCATCTTCAGTGAAAATTTTGAGCGCATGTTGTAGGCACAACTGGATAAGTGAATCTGATAATAACCAAGACAGTTCTCTTCAATGCACGAGGAAGCAGGGACGGACACGAAATCGAGCTCTTGAAGTGGTTTGTTCTGTTGGAGCTGTTTCTGATGGACGTTCCGCTGTTGCGCACGTTTAGATGGGTTTCGCGTCAGTCAAAATGGTAGCAGTGCGAATTGCGAGATTAGGATTTCTCCAACAGGGTAAATCGAGCTGTGTCCGCAATAGGGGCGAAGAATATCAGTAGGACCCGTATTTTGCTTTTCATTTACAAACAGCTGTGATTATTTCAGGTAAATGTAGTGCACATGAAGCGACAAGTGCATGCCGCATAACGCGCGGTTGTGAAAATGTTGAAATCACATCACTCAGGCACTCTAAGTCGGTTTTAAAGCGTCACGTTTGACTCAGGCGACTCATCGCAGTTTCTAGTATCTCTTCTCCATACCTTGACAATCCTGCTTCTGTCTGAATCATCCCGAGCAGCTGATGCGACGTCTACAACCAGAGAGTCTCCTGACGGTCTGCAGCCTCCAGCATGCTCCGTCTGCATTTGACGCGTCGCGCCGCCCCAGATGCAGTCCCGGTGTAATTTCTTGGCAGGGAGCAATATCTCAAGTAATTTTCCTGGCGACAAGAGAACACGGCCGCCGCCTTGTCGCCGCGAAGGAAACGGCTCTACCTGAGCCGCCGCTCGTCGCCCGAGGGGAGGACCCTCGCCGGCGAACACCGGCCAGCCGGGGGAGGGGGAGGACCCCCGCCGGCGCACACCGGCCAGCCGGGGGAGGGGGAGGACCCCCGCCGGCGAACACCGGCCAGCCCGGGGGAGGGGGAGGACCCCCGCCGGCGCACACCGGCCAGCCGGGGGAGGTGGAGGACCGTCCCCGGCGAACATCGGCCAGCCGGGGGAGGGGAGGACCGCCGCCGGCGCACATCGGCCAGCCAGGGGAGGGGGAGGACCCCCGCCGGCGCACACCGGCCAGCCGGGGAGGGGAGGACCGTCCCCGCGAACACCGACAAGCCAGGACAGGGAGGACCCCGCTAAGCAACACCGGCCAGCCAGGAGGGGGAGGACCCCCGCCGGCGAACACCGGCCAGCCAGGGGAGAGGGAGGACTACTGCCGGCGGACATTGGCTAGCCGGGGGGGGGGGGAGAGCTCGGCCGGCGGACACCGGCCGGCCAAGAAGAGCCGACCGCCCGGCCGTCGACAGGCCGTCGGTCACGCGCCTCTCCAGCACCGGTCATCGCTCAGCTGGCCCCTGGCCACAGTCACTGGTCACTGGCCGGTGACGCAGAGGCAGCGGTTGGTCGGCCATAGTCGGCACCGCACGTCGTGCCGACCTCGCTAGGAAGACTTTGAGATCAATTGGAAAGCGGACCAAGTTATTGGACCGCATGATGATAAAAGCTGAATCGGTCTGAGACGTAGCGCAAAGATCACACACTCATCAAGAAATCAGAGGTCAATATGTTTCGTACTATCATAGGTTTCATACTCATGAATTTTCCTCTTTGTTGATCTTGCAGCACGTATTGGTTATTTAGACACCGGAATTTCTGACGAAACTTGCTTCAAGCACGCTTCAGCACTGACAACGGTGCAATCCATAGGTTGATATTCACTGCTGAACTGGAAAATCTGTTTCTCTGAACTTGCAATTTTTTCCTTTGTCTTTGTGAAGCGAAAAGGCACAAACAAGCAGTCGTCACGCAGGCAAAATTGGCTCCGGAGCGTAATACATTAGCTCACATTAACAGTATTTTCTGGCATGACGAATGGTTTTGCATGGGTGCTTATTGATCGGCTGTAGGGAGGGGCGGGAAGCACTCGATCCCATCCCTTGGCATGTATCTCATGGCATTACCATAGACGTGGCCCCAGCAGGACGGTGAATGATTGAGGCCACACCGCGGAGCCGAAGACCAGTGTTGGGATCAGCGGCTGCCCTTCTATACCGGAGAACACTGTATGGTGTTTGTATACAGTGAGCGAGAGAGAGAGAGGGGTGGGAGAAAGAGAAAGAGAGAGGGAGAGGAGTAAAAGAGAGAAGGGGGAAGACTAGAGAGAGGAGAAGAGAGAGAGAGAGGAAGAAGAAGAGAGAGAGAGAGAGAGAGAGAGAGGCGAAGGAGAGAGAGAGAGAGAGAGGAGAGAGAGAGAGAGGGAGAGAAGAAAAGAGAGAGATGGAAGACGGCCGACGGAGCATCACCCTCGGCTGACCCTGGGGCCATTGTGGCCCCTCCGGACCGATCTCCGGTGGGTGGCGCCTTTTCAACATTTTTTTTTATTTATTTCACACTTCGTTTTTTTTTCACGCACTTCGCACCCGTGGGTGGCGTCCCGGGGGGTAGGTAGGAGGGGATGCCGGCGGGCGGGGACGGTTTTGGCAACGACAGTCCCGATCGATACCGAACGCAGGGCTCTTTTGCCGATGACGACTGTCGTATCGCTTCGAGCCGTGTACGAGGCGAGATGTGGGTCGTGTAGGCCGTGTCAGCGGGCCGCGACGACAGACTGGGCTGCGCACCAGTCGCTAGTAACAGCATGTGTCCATGGGTGCTGCTGGCTGATGCAGCGTGATGGCATGTGGTCAAACATGACAGCTGACAATGCGCTTTTGAATGGAGAAGGTTTGACTAATTTTCCAACCCTCTCCTCGCGATCGTTGCGTTAAAGATGACGTCTGAGAAAGTTAAGGTCTGTTTGGTTTCCATTTGAGCTAAACGTGCAGAGCAAAACAAGCATGCTGTTTGTCATGTCCGAAACCCATCAGTGTCTGGCTTTAAAGCTACAAATTATTTTAACAATTTGTGACTTTATATGCAGCCATAGATAAGACAGTAGTATTAGCCTTATTCTTCTGAGAGAAACCAGGATATATATATATATATATATATATATATATATATATAAAGAGAGAGAGTGAGAGAGAGAGATACCCAACTTATATATATAGAGATACCCAATATATATAGAGATACCAATATATATAGAGATACCCATGTATCCATTCCCCTGGCTCATCTCCGAGGAATAATGTTTATACTACTCTTTTATCTATGTGAATAATGTTTCTCGCTAATGCAATGATCAACTTATTTGCAACCACATTTCAACTCCGCATCATGCCTTAACGCTGCTCTTATACTAACTATTGGCTTGGTCGGTGGTGTCAAAGTGTGTTGCTTATAGTATCATATCTTGTTCGTTTTATTGATATAACTGCTGCTCAACACGCCTTCATAGTTCGGTACAGTGTGAAATATGATTCTTCATCGGCAGGGTCCGAGTAAATGCAGATGACGTACGTGCCTCAGTTTGGTATCATAACTCGGTGGATGCGGGCGATACGAGTTTACTTTCCCGTTTAACCACATGCATCCAAAATTACATGTCATCAGTTTTAGACAGCTTTCTGAAGCAGTGGTCCACTGCGGTGCCTGAGGCGCGTCTTCTCCGCTGGCGTAGCCGCCTGTGACCGACATCACGCCGTGCGCCGGTGCCCCGCAGCTTCAGAGGGCGTGCACATCGAGGACCTGCGCGTGCCGCCCGTGGTGGAGCACAACGTGAACGTGACGGCGCTGCTGGACTGCGTGTACGAGCTGCGCGAGCGCGAGAGCGACCTGCTCACCGTCAAGTGGTTCTTCAAGGACGAGACGCACCTGGTGTACCAGTGGGGCAGGGGCCTGCCGCCGGCCGACTCGGGCGTGCTCAAGGGGCGGCTGCACCTGGGCCATGTGGCGTCGCAGGACCAGCTGAAGCGACACCGGGCTCTCGTTATCCACAACCCGACCATCGAGCTCAGCGGCAACTACATCTGCAGGGTGGCCACCAGACAGAACGTGGTCACCGGCTCCAAAAAGATGATTGTGTATGGTGAGGAAGCACACGTCTTTACGGCCTTGTGTCGATGCATCGCCGCGGAGCTATCTCTACGGAGCCCATCCACCCTGTGCTCTCTCTCTGTCCTCCAAGCTCTTCCCGAATGCTGATCCATGCATTGCATGCTGAACAGGTGCATGGATTTAATTACGGCAGTCATTCAAGCCCTGCAGAGCCGTGACGGTGATGAGCGGCAGTGCGATCCACCATAGCCAGGACAGACCTATCAGCGGAGCGGTGCAAGTGCTCTGGTATCGCAATGCTGACTTTATGTCCCCAAATACTAACTTGTAGTATATATATATATATATATATATATATATATATATATATATATATATATATATATAGATATACATATATTGTTTGTATGCATCTCGTCTCGCATTCACAACTGATAGAGTGACATGAGAAACCAAAACGGCTCACTCGCCTCTGAAGCGCTTCATTTGAAGCCAGTGAATGACATGACGATTTTAAAACCAGCAGGAAGCCGCACCATCGGCTGCTACTGGTCTGTTTTCACTATGATCGCTGCGTGCCTGTTGGGTTTCAGCCCCGGCCAGAACAATGAACCTGACGCAGGACGGACCCGTCGACAGCTCTGTGAACGTCTCGTGTGCGGTGGAGGGCGCCTACCCGGTGCCCCATCTCGACATATTCATGAAGCAGGAGAGCCGACAAAACAGGTGCCGCACATCCACTCGCCTGTCTGTTTAGCTCTTCGTGTGCTATAGTGTGCTCAACATTTATATTTTTGGTACATACCACGCTGACGATGAAACTAGACTAATAAGTCCCGCGTATTGACCTTACCATAGATCGTGCTGAGAGATTCATTCGTAAGCCAAACGTCTGAAATGAGGATCTTGCGGTTCAGCACCTACCAGATCGGCACTGAGACTGGACCAATACGTTCCACAATCGGCACGATCATTTTGAAGCTAGTTCGATGTGGTAGCAGGCAGCACACAGCAGCACTGCTCATGGCACCGAGCTCGCTCGCACTGTGACACGGCACGCCGGGCCGCTGGTACCAGGGTGCTGCTGAAGAACGTGCTGGTGCAGACCAGCCGGACCGAGGAGGGCGTCTACGAGGCGTCGGCGCTGGCGCAGTTGCAAGCGCGCGACATCCACCCACAGACGCTGTTCGAGTGCATCATGACCATCCCGGACACGCAGTACTCACTCAAGCGGGTCATCACCTACTACTCAGGTGGGCGCGCCACACGTCACCGGGTCATTACCCTACTACTCAGGCAAGCCGGCCGCAGGTTACGGGCTCATCACCTACTACTCAGGTGGGCCGTGCAACAGGTCAAGTGGTCACCACCTACTACTCAGGTAGGCCGTGCTGCAGGTCACGGGCTCACCACCTACTACCCAGGTAAGCCGGTCACAGGTCACGGGGTCATCACCTACCACTCAGGTAAGCCGGTCGCAGGTCACGGGCTCACCACCTACTACTCAGGTAAGCCGGTCGCAGGTCACGGGGTCATCACCTACTACTCAGGTAAGCCGGTCGCAGGTCACGGGCTCACCACCTACTACTCAAGTAGACCGCGCGCGCAGGTCACGGGGTCATTACCTACTCAAGTGGGCCGCGCCGCAGGTCACGGGGTCATCACCTACTACTCAGGTAAGCCGGTCGCAGGTCACGGGGTCACCACCTACTACTCAGGTAGACCGTGCCGCAGGTCACGGGGTCATTACCTACTACTCAAGTGGGCCGCGCCGCAGGTCACGGGGTCATTACCTACTACTCAAGTGGGCCGCGCCGCAGGTCACGGGGTCATTACCTACTACTCAAGTGGACCGCGCCGCAGGTCACGGGGTCATTACCTACTACTACTCAGTGGACCGCGCCCCAGGTCACGGGGTCATTACCTACTACTCAGGTGGGCCGCGCCCCAGGTCACGGGGTCATTACCTACTACTCAGGTGGGCCGCGCCCCAGGTCACGGGGCATTACCTACTACTCAGGTGGGCCGCGCCCCAGGTCACGGGGTCATTACCTACTTCTCAGGTGGGCCGTGCCCCAGGTCACGGGGTCATTACCTACTACTCAGGTGGGCCGCGCCCCAGGTCACGGGGGTCATTACCTACTACTCAGGTAGACCGTGCCGCAGGTCACGGGGTCATTACCTACTACTCAGGTGGGCCGCGCCCCAGGTCACGGGGTCATTACCTACTACTCAGGTGGGCCGCGCCCCAGGTCACGGGTCATTACCTACTACTCAGGTAGACCGTGCCGCAGGTCACGGGGTCATTACCTACTACTCAAGTGGACCGCGCCGCAGGTCACGGGGTCATTACCTACTACTCAGGTGGGCCGCGCCCCGGTCACGGGTCATTACCTACTACTCAGGTGGGCCGCGCCCCAGGTCACGGGGTTCATTACCTACTACTCAGGTAGAGCGTGCCGCAGGTCACGGGGGTCATTACCTACTACTCAAGTGGGCCGCGCCCCAGGTCACGGGGTCATTACCTACTACTCAAGTGGGCCGCGCCCCAGGTCACGGGGCATTACTACCTACTACTCAGGTAGACCGTGCCGCAGGTCACGGGGCTTACCTACTACTCAGGTAGACCGTGCCGCAGGTCACGGGGTCATTACCTACTACTCAAGTGGGCCGCGCCCCCAGGTCACGGGGGTCATTACCTACTACTCAAGTGGGCCGCGCCGCAGGTCAAGTGGTCACCACCTACTACTCAGGTAGACCGTGCCGCAGGTCACGGGTCATTACCTACTACTAAAGTGGGCCGCGCCCCGGTCACGGGGGCATTACCTACTACTCAGTGGGCCGCGCCGCAGGTCAAGTGGTCACCACCTACTACTCTCAGGTAGACCGTGCCGCAGGTCACGGGGTCATTACCTACTACTCAAGTGGGCCGCGCCCCAGGTCACGGGGTCATTACCTACTACTCAAGTGGGCCGCGCCGCAGGTCAAGTGGTCACCACCTACTACTCAGGTAGACCGTGCCGCAGGTCACGGAGGTCATTAACCTACTACTCAAGGTTTAGCCGCGTCCACAGGGTCACGGGGTCATTACCTACTACTCAAGTGTACCGCGTCAGCAGGTTCACGGGGGTCATTCCTACCTACTCAAGTGTACCGCCGGTCCGCAGGTCACGGGGGTCATTACCTACTACTCAAGTGTAGCCTTGCGACTGCCAGGTCACAGGGCTCATCACCTACTTACTCAAGGGTACCGCGTCCGCAGGTCACGGGCTTATCACCTTCTATTGCGGTGAGTGGCTAGCCACCGACATTTCAACGCTTGCTTCTTTCTCTGGTCGTTGACGTCTCGTCGCATGTCCAGAACTCGGCCAGTCTATGCGATGTTTTTTTTTTCAATCGCGAACTGGAATAATCCCTCACCAAGAGCTCTAAGCTCTAAACACGGTTGATACATCACCAAAGGTTCTAATCCTGGTGATGGCATGAACACTTTGAGGCTATTATTTCTACTTTTATTATTGGTAATGATAATTGACATGAATACTACTAAATTTCCATTTGTGCATAAGACCTCCGCATTAAATCCACTAGAATATCTGAGTTAGCGAATTTCTGAGACAAGTACAGATGACACTGGAAATATCGATCCTTTGGTTGCACATGTTAAAGCCTTTTGTCATAAGAACGGCCATTTTCACGCATCGCGCATGTCACTTGGTTCTCACACACGAGTCATACTTGGGTCATAAATATCCACAGGTCAGATTCATTGCGAACAAATCAGTATACAAGCTCTATCCCACGTGTGCCGAGAGCACAGAAAAGTGACTGACAACCGCTCGCAACCTGTAATAAAAAATAGATTGGCAAACATAAATGATAGTCCGGTTCATGCACACATGGGTGATACGCACATGCTGACAGAGTGATAGCAGTCCATTTGTCTTCGGCCAGACCACTGCTTAGAGACACGGCAGCAGCTATCAGCTCATCGTCCCCACATCAATAACCGCATATACGTTCGCATGCTGACGCTGTGATCGCTCGCCTGTAGCGGTGTGGTGCGCCACATTTGTTCTCCCAGCAGCCGGAAGCCTCTGGGGCCTATGTTGCTGGTCATGGCTACGTCATCAAAATTGCTCATCGATCGCGCTTGGCTGGCGTAGGAGGGCGCGAGGGGAGATCCAGAGATAGCTGACGGGCGGATGGATGAACATCGCGGTGGCTGAGTCCTCGGATGGCAGCGCGGGTAAATAGCGGTTGGTGGCTTGGGAACGCACGCAACTGTATCGCTCGGATAAACTCCATATTTGCGTCACATGAGAGCGAACACGCATGTACAGTACCTTAGTGGTCAGCACTGTTAGTATGACAACAACCGAGGTATTCGAAAAAGGCAGGGCTTAAGCTGAAAAAAAAAACACCGACAAACACAGTTCTGCGTCCCCTCGCTAAACATCGAGGCAGGCCAGAAGCCGCTGTTGCACCAGCACACAGCCCGCTCGACCCGAAACAGGGACACTGCAGCGTCTCCAGGAGGTCGCAGCGTCTTCAGGACAGCGCAGCGTCTCCGGGACACTGGAGCGTCTCCGGGACAGCGCAGCGTCTCCGGGACACTGGAGCGTCTCCGGGACACTGCAGCGTCTCCGGGGCACTGCAGCGTCTCCGGGATACCGCAGTGTCTCCAGGACACTGGAGCGCCTCTGGGACGCTACAGCGTCTCCGAGACACTGGAGCGTCTCCGGGACACCGCGGCGTCTCCGGGACACCGCGGCGTCTCCGGGACACCGCAGCGTCTCCGGGACACTGCAGCGTCTCCGGAACATCGCAGAGTCTCCGGGACACTGCAGCGTCTCTGGGACACTGCAAGCGTCTCCGGGGCACTGCAGCGTCTCCGAGACACCGCAGTGTCTCCGGGACACTGCAGCGTCTCCGGGACACCACAGCGTCTCCGGGACACTGCAGCGTCTCCGGGACACCGCAGCATCTCCGGGACACCGCAACGTCTCCGAGACAATGCAGCGTCTCCGGGACACTGCAGCGTCTCCGGGACACCGCAGTGTCTCCGGGACACTGCAGCGTCTCCGGGACACCGCAGCGTCTCCGGGACACTGCAGCGTCTCCGGGAGGCCGGTCGACACTCGGCCTCTGATAAGCTGCAGCCTCCTGACTCCTGACGGATGCGTCGATAACGGCGCTCCCCTGAGTGGCTGCGAGCCGACACGCTCGATCGGCGCAGGCTGTCGGACCGGCCGTCGAGCGCGTGACTGCGCGGGCAGGGAACACAGCCCCGCCACCGGCCATCATCGTTCCGACGCGCCAGACCCCCCAGCCGCCAAGCACGTGACTGCGGGGCGGGGAGCACCGCCCCGCCGCCGGCCATCACCGCTCCGGGGCATCAGCTGCGCTGGTTTGATCGACACAGAACAGTGGTGGGGGCGGGCGCTGCTCCCTCTGCCGACGTTCCTCATCACCCTTCCTCGCGACCGGAGGAACTGACCACGCCGGGCATCTCAACGACCGTCGTCCGGATACAAATTGTATGTGCGTAAATTTTCGTCCCCGCATTATATATTCGGACGTTTAGAATGAGCGAGCGAACGAACACAGACATACAGATGAAACCAAATCCTGGTCTGTTTTGTGCTCGTTTGCATGCAATTGTTAATATTTCAACATCGAGAAAACGTACTGAGGCGAACGATGGCGGAACAGAACTCAGCCAGGATTGAGCGCACCTTAAATTATCTAACAGCTCACGAAGATTCGTCATGTCTGTCATATTGGCATATAAGATTGAATTTGATGCATTCTATGTTTGTTCATTCACCACATGTTTATTTCACTGTATGTACGCTACCCCGAAGGCGCAGTCCGCGTAGTTTATGACAGGTGCAGATGACTTCTTAAGCGAGGAATATTATCATTTTGTGGTGGTAATGTGCCTAACATAGACAAGCTGTGTTAGTTCCAACATACTTTAAGCCCTGCATCATCACGAAGCGATTCTATCCAGGTATTGCCCAATACATTTTGCATCAACCTGAGACAGAGAAAGCGTGGCAAAGCAATGAACCTGAAACGCTAAAGTAAACAAATGAAGCCACTTACTACGCCTTTCGGTCTGATCCATGCATTGTATGCTTTTTACCGGACAATGTTGTCAGTGTTAGCTCAACCGAATTAAAAGCAGTGCGATCAAAGCAAAGCAAAAGCGATCGCTCACATGGTTTGAATTACGGTACTGCACTTTCAGCTTGCGCCCATCGTACGCTTTACGCGTGTGACGTTTTGTACGCCAAGTTCATAAACATCGCACTGGTTTGTTTCAGGTGCGACCCTGGCTGCAAGCACATGTAAGTTCATTAGCAACCATTTTAAGTCCACGTGTAGCAGCGCCCCCCCCCCCCCCCAGATGAAAAAAATTCACCAAAAACCGGCAACGCTGGTAATACATCACATCACGCAGGCCACGTTAAATAGCACCATCAAGATTCACAGTGATGGTTGCTGGTGTCCCCATTGACGAGCATCTGAGGATGCAGAAGGGGAGTTTTGCCCCAGCTGTTTGCCGGATTTCACAACCACTGGGCTCCGACGACTGCAGCACGACTCCATGACTCCGTCGCACACGCATGGTCTGCGTTAGTCTTGTGCAGTCTTGTGCAGAAGCCAGGGTAAGGCTTCACTAAATTTTTGTGCATCTCTTCATTTCAAATCGAGTGGTTTGTGTCAAGCTACCAAGCTGCATGTGCAAAGACAGGATCACGTTCGTGGCCGCGGGCCCGGGGCTCATTATGGTCTTTGACGGTGGCCTCCTGTCAACGTACACGGTTCGGGTTCCCTGACACCCTGGCGAGCCCGTTCTGAGCGCTGTGCTGCTGTCGGCTGTCGTCTGACTCCCTGGCGCGCTCGGCGGGCAGCGGCTGGACCCGGCACGCCCGGCCCCCTGGCGGTGGTGCCGCTCTGCCTGCTACTCGTGCCCGCTGGCGCCGTCTACCCGCGCCGGTAGCGACCACGTCGACCCTCCGCCGGACGCAGGTGGGGACAGACGTCACGCGACGAGCCTGCTGGCGCCAGCTGGGCCTCTAAGTCTCGAACTATGGCAACAACATGCAATAAAGTGTTGTTGAGTGCCGAGTAGGACACCAGTACTCTGCAACGAGCCGGTAGGTGACCATCACAATTTGCAAATTATGCACGATGGCGTTCAAGCGCAATACGCATAATGCATTTACAACTACAGGTGCACGCATTGTACCCGCACAGCTACAGGCGAAGAGGCGAGTTGACACTATTTCACATTATCAACCTTCCTGGTTACCGATGCATTGTCTGTTCCATAACGAACACTAACTGAGCGGTACTCTTTGTCACATTACTCGACCTTCGTCTCATTATCCGCTGTCGGCAATTGCCCTTTGTTGGGTCATTGTTCTCACCGCTACGCAAATTTTGAAGACATTTGAGGTTTTCTGACCCGTTCTTTGTGTCAATTTTGTTCTAAATTCTACAACCTCGCAGCAATGGCATGTTCTTGAAATCGGATTCGCTTCACGTCGCTGCTAATGTAACAGAGACAGTCTGATAGAGACTAGCCGGTGCAAGTGACAATGGTCTTTTTCAGGTCCACCTGGTGCTCATGAACATCATCAGGAAAGAAGACTGCAAACATTTACATAATGAAAGTCCTATTTTACGGTCAAAATGTGTGTTCCTTCACAAAAACCAACGTGTACATGTACCTCAGGGATTTTAATTCCAACAGCATGTGTTCCAGATTGTGAAAGGATTTCAAGAGAGGTGGAACGCACTAGTGCAGGGAAGTGTGCCATTATCATTATTTTATTGCTTGGACTTTTGATCTGTTGAATCCTTGCCTGATTACGTAACTGTACTGAATCCGTGATATAGAGGGCGGCTTGGTAAACCAGTCACAGCTAGTCACCCAGGGCCACACGGCAGACATCGCCCGTGTCAAAACTTGCGTTAGGCGCGGCCGATTACACCTGTTGGAAGCGTTCGCTGGATGCTGAGTTGAACTGTGGCAGAACGCCCGACGTAAGGGGCGTAATGGCCGCGTGGTTAGCGCCTTCGACTCGCACGTTGGGCTGGGTTTGAAACATGTCTATACCACAGCCCTGAACGCCAATATTGACCCTGGGAGTCGCTGGCGTTCCGTTAACCTTTCTTCTGATTCGCCGTGTTCTACAACGCCGACTGTTAGTGTGGGCGTGGGGTCCGTGTGAATGAACCCCCTTCCGTTTTGGAACCAAGTAAAACAGAGTCTCGCGGGATTATTAGTTAGTTGATCTCAACGATATCACGCGATGTTAATATGTTTTCTTTTGCTGGAGCAATAATTGATTGAAATAGGTCGGATCAAAGGTCAAATTTTACGGAAAATCTAATTTTTCAGCTTTAGATTGAGATGTGCGAGACCATGCACGGTAGCGCTGCGACGCTTAAACAGGCATGTTTTCCGTTTAAATCTAGGTACAAGGGGGTGTAGCTGTATGTGTTTTAAGCATATGTTTATGATGTAGTGCCAAATGAAACAGTGTCAGCCCGCCCCGCGCGGTCCGCGGATTCGTCGACATTCGCCCACCTCCTGCGCCGGCCGTGGATCGTCGTGCAGTGTTCCTGAAAAACCTTCGCTTCTGAGAAACCCTAACTGATAAGGGCACATTTATTAGTTTTAAACACAAAACACGCTGCGCATTGGATGTATCAGAGGCCACCGAAAATTAGGGCGCGATTCTACGACCTGCCGGAGGGCTTTTCTCAGAAAACCTTAGGGAGTTGTGTATCGGCACGCTATTGGGGCAGGTGTTAAAAGGCGTACGGCGACGCGCGCCTCGTTCCCACAAAAAGTGAATGTCGCGCTCGTGGTGCGTCCTGTGGCAATAGCTCTAAATAACTGCGCAGAGAGTAGAGATACGTCTATTACAGCCGGGTGTACTCCTGTTTATGCTGATATGGATGCGCTTCGCAAATAACTATGTCGGGCATGAGAGCAAACTGCGCTCATCTGGTGGCAAGTATTGTACTCAATAAACGCGACGAGTACTGAAAGTTTGAGCGTTTAAGCACCATCAAGTCTTCTATGAAAAGGCGGTCTTTACGAAAGGTCTACAGTGGGATTGGTACGCCTGCCATCGAGATATACAAGGGGAGCCGAGGAACGATTTGTCGTATTTCAGTGGAATTGTTCATGTACCATAAGCGATTGGGCGTACCGAAAAACTTTTCTTGCTAATCCTTGCAAGGCTTCACCATCCCCTGACTAACTTGACGTTTGTTCTCCCGAGCTATGTACGCTGCGATAACCTGGCAACGATATCGCCAGAACAAGCGGGCCCATTATGAGTCAGTTGCCACACAGCGGCACTTTCAAATACGGTGCTATGTCAATGGCATGACGACCGAAAAAGCACACGTGTAACATTTCATTTGTTTTGAGACGGGTATGTTGGCAGCTATGAAGTACGGCATTTTCATTCTTTTTTTTGTATCGCTTGTTCTAAAAAAGATGGAAAACTCTTTTCACAGAAACAATGCCTCGAATCGCTATCTATTTATGAAAAACTATTTGGACAAGGTCGGTGGCACATGGAGTTAGTCTGCATCATATCAACCAACGCAATTACCTACCTTAAGTCTGGGCTTCTTCGACAGAAAGACACAAGTTCATGTAGTGCATGATGCATACAGTTTCTGCAGTTTACAAGGCATCTTTATTTCAACAATGCTGACGTGGGACTTTCGGAAACAAACACACACACCTTCGACTCATCCCGATCACGGCTCAACTGTGAGTACAATTTGCACGTTTTCACCACGGACACTACGGATGCCTGCTTACCAATGCAATGCATATGCGTACACAAGGAGCGCAGCTGCCAACGTAGCACAGACACAGTTGCGGACGGACAGCCACAGCTAGCTTTGCGTCTCTCGCCGACATTCACGGCTAGCTCCGCGTCTCTCGCCGACAGCCGCAGCTAGCCACGCGTCTCTCGCCGACGGCCACAGCTAGCTCCTCGTCTCTCGCCAACAGCCACAACTAGCTCCGCGTCTCTCGCCGACCGCCACGGCTCGCTCCGCGGTCGTCACGTGGCCCAGCCCCGACGCGTGATCCCAGCGAGAGGCTCGTCTGGCGGGCAGCTGAAGACTGGGATAAAGGCATGGTGGCTCAATGCGAATGGCTCGTGCACACAGGAGCGGACGCCGGGGGCCGTTGGGGACGGCCGCTACCGCCGACGGCTGTGTGGGCTTGTGCCTTGCTCTTCGGCCATGGGCCAGACACTGAGTCCGCAGGCAGCAGGAGTGGAGTGGGGGAGGGAGAGCAGCGACAACAGCACCGGTTCCGGAAAGTTTAACAAAGTGGAGCGGTGACTGATGTTTGGTGGCCGTTCGCAAAAGCTGCGCAAAAGAGCGAGACGAAAGCTGCTGCTTAAACGCACGGTTTGGATCAAGGTTAGACCAAAATATATCAGACAAAGATAGGCTAAAACAGCAAGCAAACTTTGCAGTAGCAGCTGTTTTCTTGGCTAGTTTAAGATCGTTCTGCGAGCTCCTGAACAAAGGCGACACTGCTGATGAGCGAATCCACCGCTCTGCGCTCAGGACAGGCATCGCCCGTCCCGCTCCCACCTCTTCAGGGCCCTGGGCCATATGACGCAGGGTGGGATGCTGGGCACGACCTTACGCAGCCTCCGCAGCTCATCGCGCGTCACGGGCTGGCCGCCCGCCACCGTCGCCGACATCCGCTCCAGCTTCGTCGACAGGATGGCGAAGAGCCTGTGGTGGAAGCTGCAGTGCTCGACGACGGAGGCGAAGCGGCTCTCGATCTCGCTGCGCTGCGCCTCAGCCTCGGCGCGGGCCTGCTCGGCGCGCGAGCGGGCCTTCTCGGCCTCGGAGCGGGCCTTCTCGGCGTTGTGACGTGCCTGCCGGCTGGCCGCCCAGCCGCGCTCGGCCTCGGCGCGCCCGCGCTCGGCGCCGGCACGGCCCCGCTCGGCTTGCTTCCAGCTGTCATTAATCACGTCCCGGGCCCGCTGCAGCTTGTCCCGGCTGTGTTCAGCCTTGGTGCGCGTCTGCTCACTCTCGCTCAGCTGGATGAAAGCCTTGGAGAGCTCGAGCATCAGGTTGCCGCAGTGGGGCTCCACGTACGGCGCCAGCCGCCGCAGCCGCTGCGTTCGGGTCAGCCAGGGGGTGCGTTCGGCGGCGGCCAGCAGGGTGGCGTCGGACAGCCGACGCCGCACCGCCGCGAACGCGCCCTGCGCCATCAGCACAATGTGGCCTTGTTCGTGGCGCTCCAGGTAGGCCGCCGCCTGCCGCATCTGCCTGCCGACCGACCACAGCGCGTCATGCATGGCGACAGTTGTGGAGCGATGGTGAATGGACGTGACGGCAATGGAATGAAGAGCAGGCGGCCGGGTCGAAGGTATGAGTGATTGCTGGAAAATCGTGTGACTAATATGCCTAGTTCCGTTACATGAGAGGGTCTCTGAGCCGGAACCGTAGCCCCGAGGGACGAGGGATGAGTTCGCAAAAGTTTTTGCGCGTAACATTATACAAATGCCGAGGCATGGAAATGCATTTGAGCTGGGCTATCAGTTACCAACGCATCGCAATGTTTTATAGACTACTTGACTGGCCCATGCCTTTTGCGTAAAACATTTGGGTAAGAAATCAATGAAAGTACACGTGATGAGAGGGTTATCATAACACATACGATCATTGAAAATGTAGGTACGGGCATCCCCATTCACAACCTTAGATTTGGTTCGTTTGCTTCCGCTGTATTGAAGTCCACATTCCACAAACCCCATGTCAGCTTGCGTCGCAAAACGCATGACGGCACGGCCATTTTGAAGGAGCGACCGTTATCGGCGGCGAAGGGGCAGCTCGCGGTGACGTCAGAGGGGGGGGGGGCGGACGCACGCACAGACGGATGTTTTCGCTGAAAGTCGCCGGTATTATGGGCACTGGGAGGGGTCAGGGATCACATTCCCGGTTCGGCGTCGGGCAGCGGCGGCCGCGGGCACGATAGACGCCTGCCGTGCGTGGACCTGGCGGCGGGCAGTGGCAGCGGTGGGCACGAGAGACGGCCGGGCGGCGGGCAGCGGCAGCGCGGCCGCGGCACGATAGACGCCGGCCGTGCGTGGACGGGCGGCGGGCAGCGGCAGCGGCGGCCGCGGGCACGACAACGCCGGCCACTCGGGGACGGGCGGCGGGCAGCCGAGGCGGGCACGACAGATGCTGGCCATGCGGGCACGGGCAGCGGGCAGCGGCAGCGTCGGCCGTGGGCACGATAGACGCCGGCCGTGCGGGAAAGGGCGGCGGGCAGCGGCAGCGGCGGCCCCGGGCATGACAACGCCGGCCACTCGGGGACGGGCGGCGGGCAGCCGAGGCGGGCACGACAGATGCTGGCCATGCGGGCACAGGCGGCGGAAGGCGGCAGCCGAGGCGGGCACGAACAGACGCCGGCGACGCGGGCACGGCGGCGAGCGGCAGGTAACGGGAGCTGGCGAGAGCCGTCCGCCAGTGACGCTACGGTAACCAGAGGGAAGCTCGCACGGCCAGAAACTGAACGCTCCCCCCCCCCCCCCCCCCTGTTGTTAATATGACACGTTCGTTGGTGGCCGGTGCGCTCGTAATGCTCCAGACATCGCCATCAAGGGCCATTAGTTAAAGAAAATGGCTGAACAGCAGCAAAACTTACCGGAGCAAATCCGAGTCATTTTCGCAGATTTCTGTTTGTAGGCGGATGTTCCCTTGCCTCTCTCTCATCTCGTCCTGGCTATCCTGGTACTCGTCTCCGCTCTCCTCGTCCGAGGTCCATTCTTCAGATTCTTCCTCGCCCAAATCGTCCTCGTCCTCCAGGCTCCTCTGTCCCGAGCTGGCACGGTCCGAGTACTCCTGGTTCAGGTGGTCGTCGCCCTCCCGACTCTGGTGATCGTCGCCCTCCTGGCTTCCATCGCTGTCATATTGGTCCATCAGGTCCAGGTCAGAGTCGTTCTGGTCCCGGTTCTGGCCGTCCTGGCCCCGGTTCTGGCCGTGCTGGGCCTGGTCCCGGTTCTGGCCGTGCTGGTCCTGCCGCTGACGTTGGGCACGCCTCCGTTCCTCATACTGATGCTGCTCTCTCAGTCGATCGTCCACCGTTCTGAACAGGACCCGGCTGTTCACGAAGTGTTCAGGTCGCAGGTTGAGCACCACCTCAGGCACGAAACGTGGCCTGCTGCCATCGCCGAAGAGCGCGAGCTCCGCCGCGTCGGCCTCGGCCCAGCGCCCGTCGCTGACCGGCACGGCCTCCGCGCGCGCCATTGTCGGGGCCGGCATGATGACTGGCGAGGGTCGGACCACCGGCACCACCGTATGGCGCAGCACTAGGGGCGACGCTGGCAGGGTCTGTTGTTTACTGTACCCTGACCGGGGACGCGGGAGGGTAGGGTGCGGCGCCCCGGGCTGGGACGCCAAACAGAGGGGGGGGGGGGGGCGGTGGGTGGCGGGGATGAGGGACATCCGACCCCAGCGGCTTCGGCGCAGAAGCCGTTTAACCCGATGCCAGTCGGTGAGACAGCCGGCGTGCGGCGCTGTCCGGAGGTCAGGCTTCAGTAACGACGCTTCTTGATACGCAGCATTGCTGCGCGTCGTAGAGGAACGCATGTCGCCGAGACGAGAGAAGCAAACGGCACCGCCGCCGAAAACCACCGTGAAATCAACGGTTTTGGTACCTTCCTCACAAGATGCTTCTTAGTGCAGTTATCCCTAGATACTCACTCCTTTTCCCCAGACCCAGATCTGTTCTCACCAAGTTTATCCTCAGGCAGCATATGAGTCCATATCTGACTAGTGTCAGCCGGATATCACATACACAAACTACTCGGCCGCTCTTCAAAGCGTCAGTTACACGCTTGCTGTTCGCAAATCAGAGCAGTCTTAAGAGGACCTCTATCTCGTATCTGTCAAATAAATGTCAGAGGACGATCGTCAATGCAGAATTTCCGGCTGGAATCCCCTCTGCCGCTCAATGGCAGTTCTTTTGCCCCGTTCATCTTTTCGATGTTAATAAACCATTTATTGCGCGGCTAGTTCTTGCGACTACCTTATGTATGCCGATGACGCCAAATCGCTTGGAAACTTGCGGCACCAATCTGATGAATGCCTGCTGCATTACGCTGCAGATGCTGCAGATGCGTAACAATTGATGCAGTAAGGCTTTTAAAGAACCACAGTTCTTGTTGCTGAGCACGGCAGGAGTCTGCGGTTGTAGCGGCAAATATATTAGCTCCTGGGATCAGCGAATCTATGATCGGGGAATCAGGCTGCTGGCCGGTCGATTCTTACACCGATTCCCGAATTGTCCGCCCGTGCCAGGGCCAGGACGCCTGATCACCACGCAGTGCGTATGATGAAGTGCGACACATATTTCTCTCCTGACTTATAAGGAGATGATTAGTGCTACGTCTGGTGACCACAAAGCCACGTGGCCTGTGACGTCACGCGTCGGCTAACGATGATGCCAGGCTTTTGTCAGCCCGTCAGCATGGAGAGAAAGCGCCATCGGATTAAAAATCCCTCTGAAAGAGAAGCGGGAGTTTTATTAGGTAGCTCTTGCGCTGGTGAGTGCGTTAGATGGGGTGGGGGCATTTGCCTCTAATTTTGGGGGCAATGCTACGCAAGATAGATAAGGAAGGAATTGAAATGCCAAGAGCAGCCATGAAAAGGTGAGCGGCCGTGACTGGTGTGGTGCGTGGTTGCGTTACCCAGTAAATTAATGGCGTTATAAGTAGACACTTAAATGAGAAGGACAAAACTGAAATTAATTGGAAATGGGAAGAAGCACTTAACCTACCGATGGGATAGATGGTGGTAATACCGGAACAGAAGCCACACTTCCAAACACCACTTTGCGCGAGTGTGTCATGGTCGGCGGTAAGCCAGAGTTAGGGTGCGGACTAAAGTAAAAGGTAAAAGATAAAGGGAAAGTGGAGTGGAGAGCAGTGCTGTCGGCATTATTCCTTGTTGACCATTGATGTGCCGGCCACATATCTGTTGGGCAAAGAAATAGTGTTCAGCACAATCTTTGGACAGTTATGGCACAATGTTTAAATGTATCGGTTTTTCCTGCTTAAGTTAACACGCACTCGGGTGGGGGGTCAAATTGCCCCCACAGGTTTTTCCAAGATGCCTTCTGAACGGCGCCGCGTAGCCGCGCCATATTTTGCCTAGCTGTAGACAATTAAATAGTGGATCGTTTGGCATCAAAAATTTAGATTTACCTTGTAAGGTCGCTGACCTATGGCAGATCAAATTCAGGCGATGGTTTAAGCAAAGACAATTTCTAGGGAATTGTTCAATTTGATCCAACAACGGAGTGCACTGCACAATGAATGACTTCCAGACCTTTCCTGTTACAGTAGGGGTGCTACCATCAGGACATAGCCAACACTGTCCTCAGAGACAACCAAATGCTAACCTGTCACTGATCTCATAGGACAGTTGGATGACAAGGCCATAAAACCACCTGCTATTTGAAGTAAAACTCTTGGTAAAAGAGGTAAATGCGACATAGCATCGATATGTATCGATGACATCTGTATCGGTGATAGTTAATACGTGCTCGGGTGGGGGGTCAAATTGACCCCTTCCCCGAAGGTTTTTCCGGAATGGTTCCGAACGGCACGGCGCAGCCGCACCGAATTTTGCAATGCTCTACACAATTGAATAGCGGATCATTTGATTTTTTAAAAAAAATTAAACGTACCTTGTAAGGTACCTGACGTATGGCACGTCAAATTCGGAACATGGTTCCAGCGAAACCAAGTTCCAGGGAGTCGTTCAATCTGATGCAATAACGGAGTGTTATAGGAAGCCATACATCTCTGAGATGCTTTCTCAGGCAACACAAGCATTAAATGAGCAAATCACGCTGACCTAAGGTCAGGTATGAAGGTCAGACCAAGGTAAAAACCAACCTGTTTTATTTCTCGAGGGTTCGTTGTATGATGCAGTTTCTGGTGCTCACTTCAAATTTATTAATAACATGAACCGCATTATACATCTTCCATGGACTGTTTGGAGGTCAGAATAGGTCATTGACATAAAATGGCCCTGGTCAACATTCGGCTTTAGAGACGTACCACCTATAACAATCTTTGCCGCTTATTCAAATGCAAACTCATAGCAGTCTTGTATTATTTTGGTCATTTTGGTCATCAAAGTCATTTACCTTAAATGAGCATGTGACTTTTGGCTTAAAAGCAACTAGCCTCAGGGGCACTTTGGAGGCCAGCCTGGAATTTTACCTTGTTTAACCTTATTTGGCCCGAAGGTCATGACTTAGAAACCTCACATTTTGACTGAAGTGATTTCACGTACAGGTCAACATACCCTGTAAATTTGGTGTCTCTAGCTTTCTTAGTTCCTGAGATCTTAGGGGGGGGGCAAATTACCCCCCTCCCACACCTGAGCAAAGGGTATCTAGCCGGCTACCCGGGCGCCTGTTAACTCACGCCATGCTGATGGGCGATTGCCTGCTGATAATGCATACCCTGCCACACCAGGTCTCAGAGTCTCACTCCGAATGGTTACCTTCGTGTGTTCTTCCCGTCTGACAAGTCTCCTTTGTAGGACCTGCCACAGCTGCACTATCTGTCGTATGTGGAGTGTTTTCTTGTGTATTAGGTGTCGGTGGTCAGACTTTGGTAATTGCTCTCTGGATCGTTAAGGTACTTCCCAGGAAGATGGCACCGATATGGTACCTTTCACGATATGACCAGTTGCCTAGGTTTGACGACCGATACCAAAGAAACATTACAATAATTACTGGTATCAATATTAGGATTAGTATCTTAGAAACCATGCACAAGATGGCTATGACGCTGTCATGCCAATGCCATATTTCAAATTACATGCTAAGAGGCACTCACTGATAGTATATTATAAAATGATGCGAGCAGTGATCAAATATCTAAAACAGACCTATATATGTATTATGATCCGGATCACATCAGCGGTCCGTGCCCAGAGATCAAAATCACGTCACGTATGGCGGTAAGGTGGCATCACAGGAGCACAATGGCGGGCGGTTCCAGACATCCCCGACCCAATGCGAGAACGCCCTCTGTGCGGCGGTCAATCGGTGTAAGCGCGGCTGCAGACCACCCCAGTTCGAGGTGCGTGTTTCAGGCAGCTGGGGAATTGTTCTAAACGTGCACGTCTTACACGCCCGACGAAGAACACATTTCGAGCAATTATTCCACCCGCGATGTTCGAGAGACGGAACTCGCAGAACTGCGCAGCGGTCATGGCCATTGTAGACATCCAGTCAAACTGGCAATAAATGCCATGGCAGCAACGGCTGCTCAACTCGGGCTCACCATTGCATTCCGATGGGGGCCCAGACAAAGGAAGAATCACAAGAGTCTTCAATTATCTCATTTGGAAAGTGGTTTGATCAGCTGACGAACACAACCAATTTCTAAAGGGTAGCTACTCTGCTGCCGATCAGTACCCAGTGTCACAAGCAGAAGTTGCCGTTTTCTTTTGGCTGGCCGAAATATTTTCCACGTAACTCACTACTTCCTACGCCAGGATTGTACGCCATTCTCTCTTTACGAAGCTTGTTACTGGCCGCGGTACACGATTGTTGACTCGCCTAGTGCGTATTACCCACACTACGTGACGCGTTCCCTGCATTGTCCTTGTGGTACAATTTATGCGGAGTAAAAGACCTCGTGGGCTGTGACAAAACGAAGCTTCCTTCTTTCCATCTGGAGGAACGCACCGCTAGATAGGATCACCTGGAGACGCCCGCAAAACAATCTACGTTGACCATCAGATGAATGATCCGCGTTTCTCCGGGTTCAGTAATGGACAGACATGGCTGCGGCATGGGGCCGCGCAACAGCACGCGATTTTGAATGCCAAGCATTGTCTTACATACAATGATTTGAGTGCTGATGGAGAGAAACAAGAGAAATATTCACGACTATGAAAAGTTCTGTCCTTTCACTGCCAAGAGTGAGTAAATAACCACGACCATTGCCAGCGTTTTGCAGTCACGTTCGGTATGCCTTGGACATGAAGGTAAGAAATGGATGGGAATTCATCAATTTCTCTCGCTGCCTCCTTGACCATGCCTTGTATTATTAGCACACTGCCAACCATTCGTGAGGTCTTCGGCTGGTAGGGAGAACTCTCTGGTCATTAGATGACCTCTACCAATTTGAACACGGCATATCATTTGAGCTCGAACGCTTTCAACGAGTCTTGATCATTATGTACGTCGTCAGCAATGTTTGAATGAAGTGATATGTAGA